CTATATTATATATATATATATATATATATATATATATATATATATATATATATATATATATATATATATATATATATATATATATATATATATATATATATATATATATATATTTGTTGGTACAAAATTTAATCACAGAAATAAAAGTGTAAAACTTAATATTACCAGACATATTAAAAACAGGCGAAGCAACCGGTTTCGCTCCCGCTCTTCAGGCTTCAACGGGAGATTTAATTTAAATGAAAAACACAGAAAATTTACAATGAAAAGAAAATGTGGAGGAGAAAAAAATATGGACACAAGGAACTAGAGGCAAATATTTATATATATATATATATATATATATATATATATATATATATAGAAGAGAAGGAAACGTCTAGAGAGACATATTTGATGGATATCGAGGCCAAAAATTGAATCGTAAGCTGGGATGGAAAACAGCGTAAATTTGGCGATAAATTAAAATTATTTATCGGATGATGGAGCAAAAAACAGATAAAAGAGAGGATAAAGTAAAAATCAATTCAGTTTTCATCGCCAGTTGAAGAATGGTATTTCTATTCTCTGTCAAGTACGAAGGAAAATATAAGAGTTTAAACGGTGATTAATGTTCCTTTTACAATTTTGATATGCCTGGACGCCATTTTTTATAACCTTCTCAACGACTGCGTATAGACGACTGATTGCAAAAAAATGAAGCGCTGGACAAACTTCATAGACATTTTAAACATTTGCCTAAAAAATTAAAAAAGAATTCATCAGCAGTATATTTTCATTATTATTATTATTATTATTGTAGGAGACGGTCCCAGCGTTGAAAAACATCTGAATTCAACAACACTGCTTGACATAATTCTTATGAATTAAATTGTGCATCTGGAACCATTTGATTGTTGTTCTAGCACGAAGCCACAGGTATTAGAATAGCTGAACTACTGTAACTTAGACCAGCTCAGAATAGATGCAGTATAAACCATAGGTGACTCTGTAGATTCTGAACATACACAAATGTGCCTGAACAGGTGTCTGCAATAGGGATTCAACACACAGTTGCAGACAGGCATACTCATATACGAGCGGAAAAGCATACCATACTATTACTATTAGTTTATATAGCGGGTGTAACAGCAAAATTGTCCAAATCGTGTAACAACAAAATTGTCCAATTGTTATATTAAGATTCGAACCGTTGTATCTTAGAAATGATTAAAGATATCTTAGTGAAATTCCCCGAGGTTTTTTATAACTTTACTGGAATCTACATCGTGCAATAAGAATCTATGATTACTCTCCCAGTTTAAAAGAAGAATCGTGATGAAATCGATCATAAACGAAAATGATATATTCATCATTAGTTAATCATAGCTAAGAATCGGAAGCTCATGAAGGATTGAAATAAAGTTCAAATATATATATATATATATATATATATATATATATATATATACATACATACATATATATATATATATATTTATTAAAGACATTTTTATGTTTAACGTTCTTTTTTTATAGATACAATTATTTAAGTAAATGCTCTGTTTATAATAAACAGTATTAAATAACATTTGCCGACCTGAATGTCCGAGAAATTTTACTTAAATACTTGTATCTATAAAAAAAGAACGTTAAACATAAAAATGTCTATAATAAATAAATTGTCGGACTTTGTCCATTTCTTAATATATGACACGCACACACACACACACACACACACACACACACACACACACACACACACACACACATATATATATAATTATTTCAGGGAGGGTCATTTTCCAACTTATTCAAGATGGTCTTCGCCCTCTTTAACCCGCTTACTTTTTGTCCTGGCGTAACAAGTTGCCTCATGTTTCACATACGATTTCATTTTCAAGTCTTTTTTTCACTGCTCTTTGGACTTTCATAGCTGAAGCAACCCTCTCACTTGCCAAACGTCCTATGGATTGAGTCGGATCTTTTCTAATTGATATCTTTAGTTTTAAGTTAAAATGATGATCCCTCTTCCTGTTGTGACTTCCTGATCCAGTTTTCCTCTCAACTGTTCCCTCTTTTTTAAACTTATTCGCCGTTCTCGTGAAGGTTTTTTTAATGGACTTTGAAGATAAAAGCCATGATATGAATGTTGTTACCATTACTGAAGGCCTGAATGATCTTTCTCCTCTCACCATTGCTTAGTTGCGATGAGAATAGACCTGACACAAAACAATTTTAACCCGCTCACTTTTTAGCTAAATAACTCAAAGTCTTTTACAGTGATTCTTTACGACAGATGATATCAAGATGGCTAAAGGTTTTATCTGAAAACCTGGAAAAAAGAAATTCAATTAATTTATTGTTTTTTTTTTGTTTTTTTTTAGATATTAAACATGTTGTGGGATGGATCATTATATCATTATGTTGTTACATGATTTGGATAATATGGCTATTATATCTGGCATGTACCGGCAAGCGTGTTATTGAAGTTAAATTAGGCATAAATAACTTGGTCGACATCACTTTACTCTGCCGTACGTTAATGAGCTGTACTGTGGGTTCTGTCGTCTCTCAAACAAAATTTGACCATTATTTATGCACTTCTAGTATATTTTGTTATAATTTCCAGCAACATATTTCATCCAATAACTAACTGACGCAAGTAAATCGCTCTTGTGATTCTTCCCAGCTTTTGTCTGCACTGGAAAGGCTAAATCCGTTTTGAGCTTCGCCCTCGAGCCAATAGGCAATATTAATAGCTAATTTGAACAGACAAAAATCTATACTTACTGGCATTTGTTTTTCGTAAACAGAGAAAGTAAATCGATTTCCAATAGATTTGATAGGTGTTAGAAAGTAAAACTGAAAGATTCCTTCGCTGCAGTTTAAAAGACGAAAAATAATATCTATAGGAAGCTTTGATTTTTCTTCTTTTCCGCTTATCAGCTTGGCCATTATGATATCCTCCTGATTTAAAAAAAAAATATTTTTTAATTATAATTTTTTTTTTTTTTTTAGAGAAGCTCCTATTAGATTTGTTTTTGCTTACAATTATTTCTTTCTTTCTAACTTTCTTTCATTAATTCTTTCTTTTTTTCTTTCTTCATTATTTAGAAAAATACGAAAGGTGTCAAAGAGTTCTCAGCCAAATTTCTTCTTCTATGTACTGAGTTCCTTCGGTACATTGGCGAACATGGCTGTCTACAACTCTTGTGACTCGTGTATCTCATGTGGTTCTTAGCAGTTTTCTCCCTTTGTTAAGGCTCACGATCCCCGCTCCACCATCTATTCGCACAAACTCATCAGGTAATTGGCTCGCAGCTTTCCCCTATCTCTCTTTCCCTCAATATGCCTGTAAAGGTTAAGTTTCCCAAACCCTTCTTTCTCATTATGCGTTCAAAGAATTTCAGCTGTCTTTTCTTGATTCAGTGTAAAAGTGATCATTTTCTTTAAGACTTAAAAGTGATCATTATCTTTAAGATTTCTCAGTATTCTCCTGTAGAACCACATTTCAACTGCCTCTAGCTTTCTTTCCCCACCCGTTGGGAAATTGTCCAGCATTCACTGCCATATAAGTGAAGAGTCATCACATAGTAATTCAGCACACTTAACTTTGTTTCTAACGAAAGTTTTCTTCTTTGCTTAGCTTTTAGAAGGCATTTTCGCTAGTTAAATGCATGTTTGGATCTCGGTATCGCATTTTTTATCCCCTGTTAAAACACTTCCCAGATATTTAAACTTCTGCACCTTCTTGATGTCTATATCCCTAGTTCTAACTTGCATCTTGATGACCACACTTTCCACCTCCTTGCAGTTTATGGTTAATCATTTTTTTCGCGCTTTCTTTTACTACTCTGTGTAAGTAGTTTTCTTTTTGAGTCGACCATTCAAACAGTTTCCTCGGTGTATCTTGTTAAGATTACGCCCATCAATAGTAAATCCTGGTAGGGTATCCCGTTCCCTTAGGATAGCAAACTAAATTCCCAAAATGTAACGAATTCTTTTTTAAATTTTGTCTTGGTCGAGTCAAGCACTCCTTCCTTCCTTCCTTCCTTCCTTCCCTTCCTTCCCTTCCTTCCCTTCCTTCCCTTCCTTCCTTCTTCCCTTCCTTCCTTCCTTGATTTCTTTAAAGCATTTAAATCCTCCTTCTTCTTTTTCCTCATGAACTTTAGTTGTTGATTTTTCCTCTTCTTCGTTTTTTTTTTTAATGTACAGTTGGTATAATGGGTAACGGCTTGGAATTGGAAATCGGCCAGCCGTGTTCTACAGTGTGGGTCGTCATGTTCACACGCTCAAATACTCTTGTAAAAGATATTTATCTTCCTCATCTCCACCCTCAAGCTATGTGTTAATTAACAGGATAGTATCAGTAAATAATTACAATCTAAAAATATTTTCTGGCTTTAAATGAAACCTGTAAAAGGTTGATAAGACATAAAAAATCCAATTCAATCAAATCTTCTTTTTTCTTTCTTGTGTTGCATTTTTTTACCATTTTAAACTCTTCTTAACAACACCCCCTTTCAATCTTTCTTTATTTTTCTCTACTTTTTAAAAAAAATTCTTTAATCTAATAATTCAGTAATATAAAAATCTTTCTCAAGCCTTAATATTTTTCTCTTTCCTTCTGTTTCTCACCAAACAAAATATAAAAAAGCATAAGCAAAAATAAATAAAGAAAATGGAATAAAGAAAAGAAAGAAATATTTATAATTTTGGTTAGATAAAATTCATGATATTAATACTACTACGAATAATATGGCATTACTATGAAAATATCAACAATGCAAATCGATATAGTGGATATTAAAGTTCGTGAAACAATTTAAAAAAAAAACGAAAGAAAGAAAACTTCCTAATGAACAGCGTGTATGTTATTCTTTACTGTTTATATGTGTTCAGTAACTTGTTCTATTTTCATCACACAAGCATGAAATCTTTTATTCACTCCGCCCACCAGAATTTTATCGTTCGCCTTTAAACAATTGTTTGTCCAATCGAGCGTAATTTGCTGATCGATGAACGATGTAAAATATACTGTCACGAAAGCTCTTCCCTTGTTTCTTTCATCCACATTCGACATCCGTCCATTTTCCCAACTTAATCTATCTTTTCTTTTCTTTTTTTGTTCTTTCAAAAGAACTCAACTTTCTTCTTTCTTTCCTTCTCTTATTCGCTCTTCTTCTGTCTCGGGATAATCAAGTATGGTGCACGTGTTCATAAAACAGCACAGAATCGCAGTCTACTTTGCCAGAGTTCAATGCTTTGCTATTCAGACCGATAAGCCATGTTCTTATTTTCTTGAAAAGCTTATTTTACCAACCAATGCCCGTCCATCTTCGCTGAACAAAACAGAAACCAGCCAAAGCATAGAAACTTGTCGTTTGCGTCCGTTCAGGTCAAGCAAGGATCAATACTGTGACGTCATTTCTGCCTGATATCCCTGCCGTAAAGAAACAATCCTGATCATTTGATAGGCCTGTCTTGTAGAGTTGCGTATGTCCTACTATTAACATAGGTTGGTATCCGATCGCAGATTATAGGTAGGAATTTGAATTCTGGTTTTCAGGTCCTTTTTTTTTTTTACTGAAAAGCAAGGTGAAAATGCCACTAAGACGCAAGGGTGAAAGAAAACGAGAAAGCGTTATTGAGAAAAAAAGACAATAAACTAAGATGCTTCAGGAAGACCGAAAATGGCGATTGACATTGAAATGTTTAAGATTGTAGTCGACATTAAAAGGATGAAACGTAGTTGCCAATATAATACTACACTTAAATTCAATTGATCGAGGTACCAAGGTAGCATGCAGTCGAGGTACCGAGGTAGCATCAATATAACCTCCTTGAAAATATAGAAAAAAAAGAGGGAAGCTACGGAGGTCGAGATGCCAGGTCAGGACCGATAATATTACAGAACCATCTTTGGATTTTGTCAAGAATCTCGAGATACATAGTATTAGCACCAGATCAGATGTGGCAGCAATATTCAATGCATGTACGAATGGTAGATTTATAGACGAGCAAGAAGGATTCTGACGAGAAACAATGTCTGGCACGACACGGTGAACCACTTTTCCTAGTAGCAGACCTACGAGATGATTCAATATAATCACCCCACTTCATGTCCGTGGAAAATGGGGGACCACTGAGATACAATTTATTGCTTCCTGGAGGTTAGCATCAGCCATGTGGATGAAAACCAAAAATGGTTCCCTAAGATGATTATAAAACAGCAGTTTTGTTTGAGAGATATTAAAATTTACCTCTTTGCCACAGTTAGCAACTCGATTGAGGAGTAAATAGCACACTATTTACATTATTCGGACTATCATCCTCATCTTTGTTGCCATATTTATCACAACGTTTCCGCCGTTGTACGCTCCAGCCATCTTCAGGTGGTTGGAATGTCGAACTGAACCCTTTATTTCGCTCGCTGGGGTAGACTATTCTAGTTCCACCTGCCATGTCTAATGGACGTCAGTTATCAGTTATCTCCTGTTAATTCTCCTCCCCAAGTTCTCCACTGCCTTAACTAGGTATTGAACTCACACTCTTTTGGGTCTTGTCACTGGATCTGAATTTAAGTGTAACATAAATCGCCATCTTCCGTCTTCTTGAAACCTGTTCTTTTATTGTCAATCTTCCCCCACTAAAGTCTTACTCACTTTCACTTCCTGTAACCATCCGGCGTCCTCGTGGCATTATTTCGTTGCTTTGGGTTAAACGTTAAAAAAGAAATGTGTTATTGTATATTGCTATAGTATGGTATGTCTATCGCTCACCTTGCCAAAATGGACACAAAATTAATGAAATAACCTCTAACCTGTCCAGATATTAATCCAATAAAAAACGTGTGATTCATGATTAAAAAAAAACGGTGTGTATGAAAATGAAAAACAGTATTCAAGCAAAGAAGATATTTGGGAAGCAATAAAAGTGTTGCAAGTAAAGTTAATGTTGATTGGTTGGTTTTGTTTAGAGGCATATCGACCTCTATGGATTATTTAATGCCGGAATCTAAATATTTGGAACGCAATTTATGCCTTCAAGATCATTTTTACATAATTTTGTACTTTCAAGGTATATAGTCTGGAGATAATAAAATGTACTGTTGGTAAGTTTTTTACAAAAAAGTATATTACTGGAAATTTCACTACAAAAATGTATTGTTGGTAATTTTATTATAAAAACGTATTGTTGGTAATTTTACTATAAAAATGTATTGTTAATAATTTTGCTATAAAATTATATTGCTGATAATTTTACTATAAAATGTATTATTGGTAATTTTACTATAAAAACGTATTATTGATTTTTGTTTGAAGTTCACTATTTATCCATACCTGTTAACCTAACAGTAGCTACCACCCCGAATCAGGGTAGACCTGGGAACAACAGCAATTAAGAGGTGGTTACACGCTCTTCAAAACCTACAATATCCCGATCACAGCCCTTGCTGCCGGATGTAGTTAATCGTCAGACCCAGGACGGAAAGTTAAAGATAAAACAGTAGAAAAGTTGACAAAATGAAATAATGAAATATAGATAATATATAGGTCTAATATTAAATATGAACTTAATATTTTATTCAAGTATATGGAATACTGAATCTATGAAATATGTTTCTGTGGTCTATATTTTTCGACTTATTTATAAAAGCAATGTATGTTGTAGTCTGTATAATTAAAACCTGTAGATCCACAATTATTATAAAAAAAAAATAGATATTATACGCTGAAAATTATACTCATATAAATAGAGCTTGAAAATTTTACCAACGTCAGTTGACAATATCTAATTTATTGTGAAAAAGTGTAACGTAAAATGTGACAGGGTAGTGTATAATTTTAACCACTCTGCTTTTCAATGAGAATAACTGTTTAGGGTGAACAAGAATGTTTAATAAAACACAATTGTTTTTTGTTTTTTTTTTAAATACAGTTTGTCTATTTTCAGATTCTTGGAATTGTCTCAGTTACAAAGATGTCTTATGATTTTGTAAACATACAATGGGACTATCTTTCAGCTTTTCACCGAGCGGACAATGAAATGCTATGTTGCTTCTTTCTTCTTGTTCTCGTCGGTGTAGAGAAAAATCGGGAAAAGCCAGCTGTACGCACACAAGGAAACGGAACGTGAAAATAAAGGCCATGCTGAGAAATGAAGAATCAATTCACCGTTACAATATTTATTTCGATTTCAATAAAAGGATTCACTGTACAGTCTGGGTGGGTATGTATGTATGTATGTATGTATGTATGTATGTATGTATGTAGGTAGGTAGGTAGGTAGGTAGCACTCTGGTCAAATCCTATCATGGCACTCTAATAGATCATCTCTATCTTTTAACCAAAGAGCACTCCGACTCTCTCCTACCACCGCTCTCCGTCCTGGGTATGACGATAAACTACATCCGCGTCCTGGGGAAGACGATAAACTACGTCCAGCAGCAAGGCCTATGATCAGGTCTTGAGGAACATGGGACCACTTCTTAATTGCCGGTGTTCCCAGATCAGCCCTGACCCGGAGTGGTAGCGCCTGTTAGGGTCCCAACTATGGGCAAATAGTTAACCCCGAAACTGGGGTCAAAACACCATGAAAGTGTAAAAATAGGTTGTAATACCAGAAATACTTAAAAAAAATATTACCAGCAATACTGTTTTGAAAAAATATTACCAACAATGTTTTTAAAAATAAATATTACTAGCATTACATTTTTTAAAATATTACCAGCAATACATTTTTGAAGGAAAATATTACCAGAAATAGATTTTTGACAAAACAAAATATTACCAACAATAAAAAAATTGTCGACATTAAATAACCCATTGAGGTTGATTTGCCGTAAAACAAACCAAACCAAACCCACCACCGGTCTGTTAATCCTAACATGACAACGCATGGCTAGAAGTTATAACGGCCGCAAGCGGAATTACCTCGATGGACAAAGGGCAGTTAAGAATTAGTTCTTGATTTCAGCTCTAACCGTAAATATCCCACATCCTGGTGGTTATCTCTTAAATCCAAAAGTTGTCATTTATTTATTCTTTTTTTAGTCAATTGGGTTTGAAGATCCTTTTTCGCAGACTTCGTCACCGGTTATAAAAGCACAAAACAATCCCTTCTAAGTGAGTGCTGCATTTATAGTGTCACACCCTCACAGGACCGTTAATACTAGACAGGGACTTTATTTCATTTCCTCGCTTGCTACTGAATATTTCTACTTTTGTGCCTAATTACTCTAAATTTTTGGTAAATAAAGATTATGAAATCTGAAAGGTTGCCTCACCATGGAGCAATCGTTATTGAACTAGTCAAGTAAACTGATAGACACATATATTCATTCCTCATTGGTTTTCAACATATTTGGTGATTCTAGACCAAACTAAATCGAATGACTACAAGAAAAGATAATTGATCGAAGTCTAATAACGAGACGTATCATCCACTTAAAAAAAAAAAAAAGTGTCGAAAGTTTAATCATAAAAATAAAGACGGCAGATCGGTTAGAGATACCAATATTTCGGCCCCTTGGGACTGAACATGCTTCAGTGCAGTTAACAGTTATTGACACAAGAGATTTTTTTATGTGAAATCTCCCGCTGTTTTTCTATTCGGTGAAATACAAATTTGTATTGTTCGACTCACTCGTGATATTTACACGTTAAAGAATCGGCGACGGTGCTGTTATCCGCTCCCGAAGATTTGTTGGCGCCACCAGAATACGAAAAAGCTTGCTACGAGTGTTATGAAATCATAAATCTAATCTTATTAAATTTCATAAACAGGAATAATGATTTGGGTATAATATGTCCCAAGACCATTATTGTATTCTTGAAACCGCAGATATATATGCGATAACAATATAGTTTTTTTTTTTTTATTTATGGTTAAAAGTGCTCAGTATCAAGTATAGATCGTATGTAAATATGAAAGTGTTTACAAAGGTTAACACTGAGAAGCAACAGTCTGTTTCATGCTTGAACGCAAATTTTAGGCAATTTCTCTCTCTCTCTCTCTTTTATATATATATATATATATATATATATATATATACATACATACATATATATATATATATATATATATATATATATATATATGATAGAATAAAATGAAGAACAAGTAGGAAACGTATCTCAATCTGACGTACTTCACTTTTATTAAAACCTCTTCAGAGATCGAGATTGAAAAGAAAAAGCAAAAAAACAGAGAACTGGTATGTTAATATTTTTAGTTTGTTCTTATTGGTCAGATACGTTTCATGTATATAAACGCAATAGATAATATATAAAAACCTGTGAGGAACGTTTTGGACGTTAAAATAAGTGATAGTGTAAGAGTGTGTATGTAAAGAAACACTTATGTGTCTAGGTATATATTGGACGGTAATGTCAATTCTGTAAGTATATAAGTATATGTGTGAAGAATGTTTATAGATGTCACCCACGTTTATTGTCGGTGAAATGTAGCGAGATGTTGCAATAACTTGTATTTGGTTGGATTTTTATATTCTCGTGTATGTGTGTGTGGGGAATGTCTGTTTTCGTCACCTCTTGTGGGTCGATGAGGCATATCAATATATTGTAATAATCATGTTTTGGTTGGATTTATCATGAAAGCCTTTTTCATGTGTTGTGTATATTTTGAAAAGGATTTGTGAATTTTCGTTATTTCATGTATTAGTTAGACATAAGTTAGATTCATGACTAATGAGTCTGTAGAAAGATGGTAATGTGATGTAATGTTTCAAGCGAGTGTTTATAGTTGGCAGTAATGGTATAAATATATTTTGAAAATATTTTCTCCTTAAAGGGTTATGTTACTTTTTAATTAGATTGGCATTAGTGAAATCAAAGTTATGTCCCATGAAAGGATAGCTCTAGTCGTAACTCGAGTTTCACACCACGCTGACGCATTACTTTGAAAAGCATAACAAGAACTGTAGAGCAGAGAAATGTTCAAGGAAAGCAAACACCCATTTTGAAAAAACCACAGTGTTAAACAAGCCATTATCAGAGCCAATTAGAAAAGATCCAAAATCCATAAGGCGTCTGGCATGTGAGCGAGGAGTTTCAGTTATTACAGTCTCAAGAGCAGTGAAAAAAGACTTGAAAATGAAATCGTACGTGAAACGTCTGAGACGCCTTATTACTCGAGGACAGAAAGTTAGAGAGGGCGAAGATCATCTTGAATAAGCTGTAAAATGATCATGAAATAATATATATATATATATATATATATTGTTGAAACTTGACTAATGCATGGAATAATAATACAACACAAAATGTACTTAGAACAAAATGTATTGAAACAAGAAAGTGTACACAATATTTACATATAGTCTTTTGTATATTCTTGGGAAGACCGTTCCTGGAGAATATGTTGACTTAGTCGGAGTCGGGCAGAGTCTCTGGATTGAATCTCTTGATTCCTCTCCCCGTCTTCCCGGTACCAACCATATTTATATGGTCGGTACTCCACTATGCAAATTAGGTGGATCCTACCACAACATATATATATATATATATATATATATATATATATATATATATATATATATGAACTTAATTTCAATCCTTCATGAGCATTCAATCCTTAGTTATGGGTAGTTAATGATGAACATGTCATGTTCGTTTATGGTCGATTTAATCACGAGTCTTCTGTTAAGATACGAGAGTAATTAGACATTCTTGTTGCGCAATATAGAGTCCAGTAGAGTAATAAAAACCTCGTAGAATTCCAGTAAGATATCTTTAATCATTTCTAATATACAACGTTTCAAATCTAACAAATGGACAATTCTGTTTTACACGATTTAGAAAATTTTGCTGTTACATCCGATATATATATATATATATATATATATATATATATATATATATATATATGTATGTGTGTGTGTGAATGATGCATGAAAATTATTGCCACATACTGAACTACCAACAATCATTGAGCAGTCTGTCCGAGCCAAAGTTTAATACAAATAATTGGTTCCGTAGATTTCTGGAAAATCATCAACAAAATTCTCAATGGAGACAATCCGTCAGTGCCTAATATCATAAATGACCCTGAGATCATCCTATCATCGTAGGATAAGGCTAAGCTGTTTTGCACTGAACTTGACCTCTAACATCATATTAGACGAAAACCGCCATCCCCCACTTAACTTACTACCTCTCACGAACGATTTTTCTGTCAGGGTTCGGGAAGTTTCCAGATAAATCAAATACCTACCGTAAGACCACCAGACAGGAAAAAAATAACAGTTTTTCATAATAACCATATCCCAGAGCTATTTCCAACTCTGACAAGGTTTTTTAAATGAATGAAATGGAAATGTTCCCCATATTTGTGGGAGTTTCATCTGTTTGCCCTGTTTTTAAGAATTTAGGTGAGTGCTAATCCCGTTGTAATATTTTCTTACCAGCTTCCTTAGTCTCATCAGCAAATCATTTGCGTTTGTTATTTTTTGTGACGTACGGCGTCCGTTAATAATTAAGCATAACTCAACACTTCAATGTTAAATAAAACAGCATTTAATTACAACCACAAATAAATAATTAATAAGAACAAAGAAGTAAAAAGTCAACCAAAGATAATTAATCATTTCAGTGAATACCTTGTTATTAGCGCGGCTCGGTTTAACGTCCGGTAAATCATAAATCAAAAACCCTAATCATCGACGAACAATAATTCACACTAATTCGACTGGATAGTTCCACTCAATACTGACTCAATAATCACTGCAGTGAGTAGCCTGACACCGCTATTTATACACCTGGCGGAAAAAATATATTCATAAGTCCAGAGTGTTACTCAACAAGAACGTTTCTGATCATCTCAACAAAAACTCTTCAACAAACAACAGTATTTCGCTTTAATACGTTCAGTTTTAACAATCATTACCCACAGAATTAGTGAAGTACTCGATAGTAATTTCATCATGAGAGCATCATGAGTGATAGTGACTTCGTCATGAGGTTTTTGACAAGACAAGGCCTAGGGGCTTGCTAAAAAAAAACATCCCATGACATCTCTAGAAGATTCGTCATAATTAAATGTCTTTCCTGCAAATTAGGCCCGTGAAAGTTGTTGATAATGTCCAGGATGCTGAAGCCGATAATGCCAATGCAGACGTCTCCCTAGGACCCCCTGGTCCCTACGACTTTCTGCTTTATATTAACGATCTACTTACAATAATCAAAATATCAAGAGAGAATCTGATAGCTGATCTCTCCTCTAATCTAGTTCGAACAGCTCAACGATGTAAAAACTAGCTTGTAACTTTTCATATCTTCAAAACAAAGCTAGTAGCGTTTCATCACCCTCCCCGCCCGAGTAGACATTAAATTCTCTATAGTTGTGATGAACGCTTCCACTCTCAAGGAGGTCTCTTTTCTCTTGAGAAAAATGGTCTGCTCCTGGTAGCATTGTCATGCTCTATCTTTACCGGCCAAAACATCTGAGCTGGAACCGCCCAATTCTCACTTTCCAGCCTTGACAGAGTTCAAATGCGTTAATAGATCTTCGAGAATAGAAGACTTATTTTCCGCCCTGCATTCTCTTTCCCCAAAGACATAAAGTTGCAAGCCTATTGCTTCATTCTTTAGTGTTACTGTTATAGTAATTTACCCATGCACGTATGGACTCTCACAGCTATAAATAGGAGGAGATACTGCTTTTTGGATGGTGAAAGCTCCAGCAGTCATTTCTGACAGCTCGGACCGAACATTCATGCTGTAACACTCTCGTTTGTATCTGTTTGTATTACTGTTTCTGTTAATATATTTATTTAATTCAATTCCTCTCTTGCGCCTATTTCTGGCTCTAACAAGGTCACAATAGTTATCTACTAGCTTTAAAGCCAAAACCCAACCTGCTATGTTCACACGCTTGAATCCCCTACATCCCACAGGCATTCCTTTCGTAAGAAGGGATTTCCGCTTCGAAATCTTTCTCCAAAAAAACCGCTACTTAGTGGAGCAAACCTCCTCGTAGATGATTGCCAGAAGACTACTGACTTAACCTATTCAAATCTATGTCAATCGTTATCTGTGCATCGTAACCTCGTAATATTCACTTCCTACATTCTCCTCTTACGTTCATATCGCTCACCACATTCAATAAACTTTGAGCCTTGCATTGGTTGAATTTTAGTAATCTATCTATCTATCTATCTATCTATCTATCTATCTATCTATCTATCTATCTCAGTCTGTTCATATCTATCTATCTATCTATCTATCTATCTATCTATCTATCTATCCCAGTCTGTTCATATCTATCTATCTATATATCTATCTATCTATCTATCTATCCCAGTCTGTTCATATCTATCTATCTATCTATCTATCTATCTATCTATCTGCTTTAATTTAACTATCTATAAAAAGTCAAATACACTGAATATATAAACTACTTTTTGTCCAAACGTCCTCGTACATGGAAACTCCGACTTGTAAGAGTTTATCTTGCTAAATCAAATACGTTTGAGTAATGAGTTCGATTCTCACTGGGTGCTCCATACTTTCGGCCTTGTGCCACAACTAAGCTACGTTTTGGAAATCATTTGGGCACTCCGACGTGGTGAAATGGTTAGCAAGTTTTTCTTACTAGATTAAATACAGATGAGTAGTTAGTTTGATTATCCCTAAGTGCTCCATGCTTTCGGCCTTGTGCCATCTCTAAGCTACGTTTAGAAAATCATTTGGATACCTCGACGCAGTGTAATGCTTAGCAAGCCTGTCCCGCTAGATCAATTACGACTGAATAGTGAGTTCGATTCTCACTGGTTGCTCCATACTTCCAGCCTTGTGCCATATTTAAGCTTAGAAAACACCATACATAGTCGTATATATGATAAAGTGTAATTAAAAAAAATAACTAATCGTAAAATAATAATTATGCTAATATAATGTACTAAAAACTATGTACACTATTTACATGATTCGGACTATTGTCCTCATCTTTGTCGCCATATTTATTACAATGTTTCGGCCGTTCTACGCTCAATAGTAACCAGAGGACTAGAGGCACAGTGGATAAAGGAGTTGGTTAGATCCAGTGACAGGACCCAAAGAGTGTGAGTTCAATACCCGGTTAAGGCGTTGGAGAACTTGGAGAGGGGAATTAACAGGAGATAACTGATAACTGACATCCATTAAGCATGGCACGTGGAACTAGAACAGTGAGCGAAATAAAGGGTTCTGTTCAACATTCTAACCACATGAAGAAGGTCGGAGCGTACAACGGCCGAAACGTTGTAATAAATATGGCGACAAAGATGAGGACAATAGTCCGAATAATGTAAATAGTGTACATAATACCTCATCTCAGAAATATAGACAGATAGTAAAAACTATGTGCCAATTAAAAGATTTGTTCTTACTGTAGATCTTAGCAAGTTAAACAGGCATTTTTTCTTTCTTTCTTCATTAAAGAACTGCCACCTTCCCATTTTACGGTTTGTTTTAACTTACTCGTTTTTTACTTTGAGTCTAAATAAAACTTACGTTATTTCTTGGGTTGAGTTCGGGCAACTTAAAAGGCAGACAGTAAAGAAAGAAAGGAAAGAAAGAAAGGAAAGAAAGAAAGGAAGACAGAAAGAAAGAAAGAAAGAAAGGAAAGAAAGAAAGAAAGAAAGAAAGAAAGAAAGAAAGGAAGAAGGAAAGAAAGAAAGGAAAGAAAGAAAGAAAGGAAAGAAAGAAAGAGAAAGGAAAGAAAGAAAGAAAAAGGAAAGAAAGAAAGGAAGAAGGAAAGAAAGAAAGAAAGAAAGAAAGGAAAGAAAGAAAGGAAAGAAAGAAAGAAAGGAAAGAAAGAAAGGACAGAAAGAAAGGAGAGAAAGAAAGAAAGGAAGAAGGAAAGAAAGGAAAGAAAGAAAGGAAGAAGGAAAGAAAGAAAGGAAGAAGGAAAGAAAGAAAGATAGATTTAAGTGGAGAGAGAGAGAATCAGATTAAGCTGATATGAACAAATATTAAACATTGAGAAGCGAGTGTATTTACCAGAGAGGTCATGTCGCTACCGGAAGTGACACAAGGTCGAGATATAAAGTGGGTTTAACGGCAATACCGCTGAAAAATTGTCAAAGGCCTCTCGGCACTTCCCCTTTTCTTAGAACGCCTCGGGTGCCGGACAATGAACCTAGCCCAGATGGAGAACTAATGTTAGGGAGGAAGGGCTCCTGGTGATTGGCCGAATATTAATTCGTACCTTCCCCGGCCAAAAGACTGAGGAGAGACTGCGATAAAATCGGTATTTTTCAGACACACAGTATCGAACGACGGAAACCGAGTAAGGCAATCACCAAGAATCCAATTACAATAAATTAAATAAAATTGTCTGCTGGGTTATTTTAAAATTATTATTAAGAGGAATGTTCGTAAGACAGGGATTTGGCTAGAAACAAATAAGGGAAGATAAAGGTATTTAACGTCTTCTACCAATACCTCGTAAATAATCGATTGTTTTGATTGCGTGGAAAGAGAGAAAAAGATACTATTTGTTTTCAATGCGAAAATGAAAGAAAAAAAGAAATGAAAAAGAAGAGAAAACGTATTTGACTGTGTTTCAGTGAAATGGAAAAGTTGTCAATTTCAAATCTTTTCATGTGTGCATACATAATTCTTAAAATAACGACAAGCATTCATATTTATGTCAGAGGGTATCCCCAGACAAGACACTGCCGTAGGGCAGAGTCTCTTCTCGGGAAACTGACTCCGTTTTTACGTGGTCTATAGGGAATTTTTGCCTGAGCCTGCGGGTTCAGATACCCCACTTTAAACTCAGCCTTGTGCCACATCTTGCTGCGTGGGGCAGCGAGTAAATAATCATATTTATGTATGGTATTGGCTTATTTTGTTAAAGTTGTTAAACTCAAATATTTAACGACGCAACAAGAGAATTTCTACGAATAATTTATTGTCGTAGAACTCGCAATATTCAACTATTAACTTAAGTTAAGAATTAAGATTCATCAGAAAATTTCAATAGGTAAAGTATAAAATTTTCACGGGTTTTTCAAAATACCAAAATCTGCTCTTGTGTAAAAGTGGACCTCTGTTTACCTTTTTGACTCTTATGAAAATCTGGATCTATGTCTATTTTTGACACTTGTATAAAACTAAACGGATATCCACCTTTTTTGTCTCTAGCGCAAAGCGCGAAGCATTTTTACCTAACTTCTGATTCATTGTGATGTTTATTCTATAAGACATATATTGGATATTAATTAACCCAACAACAGATTTATATGTTTCCCAATTTTACCAGCGTACCCTAATTTAATGAATTTTATAAAATATCTTAACCTGACACTACAAGTGTCGAGAGGATGATGTTTACTGTGAACGCTCAATTGGAGAAAGGCAATCGAAATTAAAATCAAAGTAATATATTTCTAAGATGATTTACGTTTATATATATATATATATATATATAATATATATATATATATATACATACATACAATCCTTCCTGGTCTTTTGAACAGGAATTGTTTCATGTTTAGGATTGGATT